TAAAAATATTGTAAATCATTTGTGTAAAAGTGATTTTTCATATTCGTAATGTAATATGGTATTTCAGTTTTATTACTTTTAAAACAAATAAATCAGCTGTTTCACACTTTTCGCTGTTTTAAGTTTAATTTCAGATTATTTTAATGTGTACTCGCATATTGAAGCAAATCAAAATTATTATATTTATTACTATGTTTACGTAATATTAATTCGATAATAATGGTTATTGCCTAGTTATGCGAATAATGTCATTGTATAAATACAGGGTAACTCAATTACCAACTTTTAAAGATTTAAAATATGAATATAGGAATTTAGGAAAAAAAGACAAACTTAATGCCACACGGAAAAAAAATGTAAAACAAATTTCTACAATTATAGATTTTTTCTCTACAATAAATAGTACATATAGGGACAGGGACAATTTGTAGTAAAAATTTCCAAATATTTGTGGAGAATGTATTGTAGAGTTATTATCTACAATATTTAGTAAAAATATCCAAATGCATCATGAGAATTGTTCTACAAATTGTTATAATTTTTGTTATTCATTGTATGAATTTATATTAAAAATGTATTCCGTTTTATGAAAATAATTACGAAAATTTTACACAATAAATAGTAAAAATTCATACAAATTGTAGTAATTTTTAATAAAATTTGTAGTAGTATTCCATAATTATTATAATTATAACCTAGAAAAAAATGTTCCTTAATAAAATATTCAATTTATTGTTTTAATATAAAAGATACAAAGTCTTAATTACATTATGTAATAAATAACAGTAATAATAGCGCCCTCAGTCTCAGTTGGCTTCTCTGCACCTGAAAAATATGAAATAAAAATTAATACCAATTGAACTGTTCATACCCTTAAAACGGGGATATTTATCACCTTTACACTGATTTGGATATTAAATGACTAAGTCAGATAACTAACAAAAATGAGAAAGTAGGTATGTCACAATTAAGACAAAAAAACATCATTGACCTTGGCAAAAAATTCGATCGTTGGCCACAACTATTTTTTTAAAATAATCTACTAAGGTTATTTAAATTATTTATCTAAAGGTAAATTATTCAGAAACAATAATAAATGTACTTACCACCAATAGAATTTATTATTAAAATTTTCTCAAACGCATCGGTGCTTATAATACAGTGAAACCTGTGTAAAACGGAATCGCACGGTCGTGCACCGATTTTCCGGCATATAGAGGATTCCGCGTTACACAGGGTAGATAAAAAATTGCACATAGTAGATTTAAAAAAGTGATGATTTTATTAAAAAAAATCTAATATACGTACATTTAATATATAGTTGTTATTATTACTATGTACCTACATATTTTTATTTATTATTAGAAACAATATAAATTATTATTTATTCCACATTTCTATCAATGTAAGTTGTTTTTTATTCTTTTGTAATACGTAAGATGATTCCATGAATGTCCTTAATTCTAAAATCTTCTTTCTCATCGGTTCGCTCTCTATTCTTTGGGAAAAATCCTCTAACGCTGCAACACTCCTCAAAGCTTCAGAAAAATTTTTTATCCGATCGGATTCTTCAACTTCTGTTCCTGTAGATAAAAATAATAATTTAAGAACAGATCGTTTTGAAAAGCTAATGGGAAAATAATTTTTTCTATCTGTTATTTTTGTAATGGTAACTGAAATCTTCCTATCTTATTTTTATTATGTATTTTAACTTTATTTCTACTTGGCCAAATGCCCAATTAAGATGTAAAGAATAAATAAAAAGTTGTTTATTTTTTTAGAGAATTAGAAAAATCGCTTACCAATTCCAATCCCATCATTATCGTCTGCCACAGTAGTTTCCACGGCAGTTTTTTCTAACACCAGTTCTTCTATGGAATGAAATCCAGCATTTGTTGTAACGGCTTCATCTAATGTGATGTAATCATGAACATTACAACCGGGATTAATTTCAGTAATTAACTCTTCGACTTCTTTTGTACTTTCGTCAATTTCGTCAACATTTTCGATTAGGTCAACGTCTCCATCTTGCTTGATTCCACATGCCGCAAAACATTTTTTAACACAATCAGGTTTAATATTTTTTACTGAATAATCAATCCATCTGATAGCATCCAAAACTGATATTTTTTTAGCCAAATCTCCTGCTGATTGAGAGAATCTCATATTCGCAATAATTGACCGCATCACTTGTTTTCTGTAATGCATTTTGAAGTTTTGTATAACTCCATGATCGAGAGGCTGTGTTTGACTTGTGGTGTTTGGTGGTAGAAAACACAATTTTATATTGGATAGTATTATTTTGGGGTGACACGTTGCATTATCCAAAAATAGAAGGATGTGTCGATTTTCAAATTTCATTTTTTGATTTAAAATTTTTAGCCACTGTTCCATAAGAACTGATGTCATCCATGCTTTTTTATTTGCTCGCCAATAAACTGGTAGCTGAGGCACATTGGTATTGTTAAAACATCGCGGTCTGAGGGATTTTCCAATAACTAGAGGTTTTTCTATTTTTCCGTCAGCAAAGGCGCAAAACAAAACGGTTAACCTTTCTTTAGATTGTTTGCCTCCTTGACATTTTTCACCTTTAAAGCACATTGTCTTGTCCGGCAGCGCTCTATAAAAAAGGCCAGTTTCGTCACAATTAGCAATGTCTTTTAGGGTATATCCTTTAATTAAATCTGTAATGTGCGATGTCCATTCAGTCACAGATTCCATGTTGACGTCCTTAGCTTCACCGCAGATCTGATTAAATCTTATGTTATGTCGTGTTCGAAAACTTTTCAGCCATCCATTCGAAGCTTTAAAATCTACTTTTCCAAAATGGTTTGCAATTTCTCTTGCTTTTTCTTGAATAATTGTTCCAGATACAGGAAGATTGCGAGACCTTGCATCCATAAACCATTCCAAAACTATTGAATTTACGTCGTCGTGATGTGATTCCTTTGGCTTTCTCTTAATATCGCCATTACCACCACGCATCCACTCTTCTTTAATTTTTTCCTTGTTTTTCAAAATTTCATACTATTGCGTTTTTCCGCACTTAAATTGAATAACCAATTGCTTTGGAGTAAGTTTTTTTTGGTCACTACATTTAATTAAGTCCATTTTAGATTTTAGCGATAATGTATTCGTTTTTCGGTTTGCCATTTTGAAATGTTTGCACTTTCACGGATAAACTCAAACTGCCGTACCTACACAATACTGGTTTATTTGTGTATTTACTGCTTTTGTACCTAAATTTCTGTGATAATGGTTCTAAGTATTGATAATAGTTCGCCCTTATTATGGGGCTTTCCGAAATCATAAACTAATTATGTAAACATGTATAAATTCTTTTATACCTGCAAAGCAATAACATAAGTAGGTTCCGGCTTAACAGATTAGGGAAATTCCGTGTTCGCGTTAGACAGGGTTCCGGCTTATAAGCAATTTTTACATTACAATATGTAGGTAATCGCCAAAATTTCCGTCATACACAGGATTCCGTGTTACACAGGTTCCGGCTTACTCAGGTTTCACTGTATAATAATGTGTTATTATAGGTACTCTTATATGTACCATGCTGTGTTATGTGAACATGGCGAACGGCTACTGCTGTCTGGCCATTTATGATCGACGTCAGAAAACGTTGGCCAATAGCAGAATTTTGTTTTGTTTACATGACTTAGAATTTCTACAATATTATAGAATATTTTTGAACAAAATTGAATTTTTTCATAAGAAGGGATGTAAAGTATTACTATTTTTTGTAGAGAAAATTACTATTTTTTGTAGAGATAATTATTAATATTTGTACAAATTTTTACAGAAGTTAGTAGTAGTAATTACGATAATTGTAATAAATTTCTACTTCTACAAACAATAGTAAAATATACTAAACATTGTGGACTTCTTTCCTATTGTTGTAGCATTTTATTCGACAATTCAATTGCTACAATAATTAATAGTTTTTAACTATAAATTATAGTAAAATTTTCTACAAATTGTTAAGTATTTTTCTACAAGTCTACTACTACAACATTGTAGTAAAATTTTCTAGTCACATTTTTTCCATGCATGTGTCATAAAATATTACGAGAGACCGTTTCCCTCCGGAAAATTATTTTTAAAACTCTACATTTGGTTGTGCTTACTAACCTTTTCACTGCGAAAACCGACTAAAATTCAGTTAATAGTTTTTGAAATCTACGGTTAAAATTCCTTCAGTTATATTTTTTTTTCTATTTATGGTTTTTTTTTAAAATCAAAAGATTTTTATTAACATTTTAATTTACATTTATTGATTATGGTATATTATTTTGATAATTTTTTGAAACAAAAATAAATAAGAATACGATTATATACATCAAGCACTATAAGAGACATTGCTTTATATTTTTAACTATAATTTTTTATAATTAGGCATTCCAACGACCTGTCACAATGCTGACAAGTAAGAACTGACAGTTAATATATGGCAACCCTATGGACCTGTTGTCATTGACAGTGTTCATAATACATATATTGCGAGTGGCCATATTGCTTCAAAAGTGTTTAAAATCAAAATCGGTTTGGCAAAAATGTGTTTACAAACCAATTTTCAGTCTTTGAATATAGTAGAAAAATATTTGTCTACATTTTTACTTTAAGCCATAAGCTTATAATTATTTTGAAAAACCTGGATGATCAATCTATATAATTATCTGTCATTGGCCAGGCCTACAGTGTTGCCATATTATGACCTGTCAAAACCCACTGGTAGCAATTTTGTTTGGAATGCTTAATAGCTATTTATTAACTTAGCCATGAACTAACAGCTATACTGCGACCACTAGCCAAAGTACTAAATATGCTCTCAGCAATGTTATTTTTTTTTACTTCTATCGTTTCGGAACAAGCTTGCTATTTACATCACTACTGTAACGACTCACGTCCAAAGATTCATTACAAACACAAGCAACTTACTCCATTAAATATTTCTTATTCATATAATTAATTACTTTGAATTTTTTCAGGTCGCTGCCCAAGCTCAGCAGCCAGGAAGAGGACGGGCACACCCCCCACACTCAATTTACTGGTGTAGCCCATTTCGAACCCATCCCGCATGATCACGATTTTTGTGAGAGGGTTGTGATAAATGTAAGTATCACTTAATTGTTAAAGTTTGATTAATAAGTAGGACAACCTATAAACTACGGGCATTAATTATGAATTTCTTAACCGCGCTACTTATGTGCGTGATGCGGTGCCACGGTGCGATTCCTTGATGTAGTGCGTGATGTGCGTTTAACTTCGTAAGTAGTAGAAGTTGGGAAAAAAACTTTTAGCACAGTCATATATAGCTATGAGGAGAATATTCCAAAATTATTTAAAAATATACAGGGTGACCCAAAAAAGGTCCATATCAAAGTTATATTTTTTCTTATGTAATACAGAAATATATTGTTCGATACTATAGTCCAAATAAAGGTAAATTACTATTATATTTTCTAACCTAAAAGTGACCGTTTTCGAGATTTTTTATAAAATATAAAAATGCAGACCATAATTTAAAAATTGTTGAGTTGTTCGTAATTAAATTTACTACTTAGCTGAAAGGTTAAAGTTAATTACCACTTAAAAGTTTTACTTCAATATTATACAGAGTGGTGAAGAAAATTGCTTCAAAATTTGGACACATATTTTACTAAATAACTTCTTAAAGTTAAATGGAACACCCCATATTTAGTGGCCTCTTTTGACACAGAATAAGATTCCCTTTAAAGCTATATTAGGATTCCTTATACCTATCCTTTTTGCTTTTTACGCAAAAAGCATTTTTATATTTATTTATCTTAAAAATGGAAAACAGTGTATTGTAACGAAAAGCATTAATAGCATTTTTAAAACCTTTTTATCAAGGAACACGTAGATCCGCTAAAAGCAAAGGTTTAAATTTTTGAAAATACGGTGTATCTCAAGCAAAATGCAGGCAAATGTAACTACTCAAATGTATTGCCAAAATAGAAAGCGCACCTATCTTAATTATTGAGGCGACAAATGAGGGGCCTAGTATCAAAACCGGCAATATCCCACTTTCATAGTTTAGAGATATTTACGAATAACTACTGCTGTCTTATTATTTATGCTAGATAGTTGGAGATTATTGAAAACGGTAGTTTACTCGATTCTGAACAATAACTAATAGTTCTGTTACTTAGAACTGACAAGGTTTTTCCAAAATATAATACAAAAATATGGAGATTGCCGGTTTTGTTCCTAGAGGTAGGACATTGCCGGTTTTGATACCGAAATGTATAAATAGACCCGAGAAAAAAGGCAATGAAAGACGAAGTGAGTGCTAAACTAAAACTGTATTTTTCTTTAGGTAACAACATAGTAGAAAATAATATCAAAAATTAAACCAATACAGATGGAATCTCTGCAATGAATTCGCAAGAGGGTTCATCATCAACAAGTTGATTAGCTTCTCTGTCTTGGGTTTCGTCCGACTCTTTAGGATTTTCTGTGTGGCTCTCCAACATTTCCTCGCTGGGAACGATATCATTATAAAACATCAGTTCATCTAGATCTCTCCACTTTTTGCCAAAGTGTTTGGTCAGCAATTTGTTCACGTCATTTAACTTCAGACTGTTGACCTGAGGCAGGCCGGCGTTGATTAGATCTGGTTTAATCATGCCAATTGGTTTTCCTTTTTTTGTGAATCCCTTAAAGGTTTGCAAGTCGCTCCTATAATGGACTTCACCTCTTATTAAAATATTTCCAGACTGGCATCTCTTCAGATAAAATCGTTTCGTATTTTTAAATTGGAAGTGCCATGATCCTGGGGGTTTCAGTACCTCTTTAACGCTTTTTTTTCCAGTCGTAAACAGTACAGTCTGTACCTAAACGAATGGGAGTCGCAATTTTTGAAAAGATTTCAATGTAGGTGTCAGGTTTGGTTATTACTTCCAGTTTTTTTATGTTCTTTTCAATGTGACCAAACACCCTGTCTGCTGGAAGAAAGGAATGCCCCACTACGGGAAAGATGACTTCCAAATTCTTAATATTTAACGGGGCATTATTTGCTAGCCATTTGGAGCACATCCCTATAAGAGTGCTATTCTTGTTTTGGCCGCTACATCCATCTGCCATAAGCCTAACCGTGGTATGGTGAGGGCCAAACTCAATTTTTTCAGTCTATCATATACAGCTGATGAAACCTCATTGGAACTTTTTGCGAACTCATTTTCGGTCCAGTAGTACGAAAAAACATTTTCTGGATTAAGCTTGGATTTTGATGTACCTTCTACAATCGTAAAATTGTAGAGGTACAACTGCCTTGAATAATAGGCTGTTTGGTCTGGCACCTTTGGTAGAACTAAGTTCTTCTCGCAATCGAAAGATATGGTTACCATATCATCTCTAGCTTCTTTAAGTAGATTGAAAAAAGCATCTGCTCTCAGTTTGTGAATTTTTTTGTCTGTTGAAAGCTTTTTCTTTTCTTCTTCATCTTCGCAACGTTTGATTCTTTCAGCCAATTCAAGGCACGTGGAACACACGTCAGTTCGCGGTGTTGTGAAACTCAAATTATACTTTGTGTTGAAAATTGTTCGAAAATACGACAATTTTACTTTTTCTTCTGGACTGCACTGCTGATCATACATGGTGTGCATTTTTTGTATCGATAAATCTGAAGGAAGGTATAGTCTTTTTGTACTGGAGCGGCAATAGTGTGATTCAATGCACTTGAAACTATTGATGAACTGTTGAAACGCCGCTTGTTTGTCTTCGTATTTAGGAGTTTTTCGATCTCCACCTCTTTTTTCTATTGGTGCTTGACCACTGGAAGTAAAACTCTTCATGACGTGGCTCACACGATGTTTTGTAATATCAAGTATGTTTAAAAAAGCCGACTGGCATACAGGAACGTTCGCTTTTGAGGAATAATTTCTCACAAAACATTTTACATGGGTAACTTTGGCTTCTCGTGTTGCATTTTTCGGACGGCGACGTTTGCACACATCAACAGAGCAATGCTTAAGAATGAACGAGTCTTGCAATAGCTTGTTTTCTATCGCATAAAATGCTTCATGAAAGTCTTTAACTTCCTTCATGGTTAACGAAGAACACTGAAAAGCCTTCGTTTTGTGACCACATGTTGGATATTGTGGCAACTGTTTTGCAGAATATCTGCAAAGAAGACTAGACAATACAACTCTATTATCAGTATGAAAAGAAAGAAAATACCTGAGCTTCTTGCGAACATTACATTTCCATGTGACTGGATCACGTTTTCTTTTACGGGCCTTACTCGGCTCAGCAGGAGATGCATTCACTTCCATTAGGTTCTCAGGCAAAACTCAACAATCAACACAAGATTTAACAGGATGAACAACCACAATGGACTAAACGAAAGCAACAAACATAATAGGTATTTGCTATTTAAATGCTATTTCATGTGATCAGCTGATCACATGTCGCGATTCTGATTGGGTGGCATGGAGTTTGCCGATTTTGATTCTGAAAGTCATATGGAGATTGCCGGTTTTGATTCTGATGAGTAGTTTCCAAACTAAATTTATATGGGATAAAACCGTTTTTGTTACCAACTAGAAACATATTCCAATAGTGCACAACGAGACGAAAAAACTGCTATATGCAACACATTTTACTGAAATTTGGAGATTGCCGGTTTTGATACTAGGCCCCTCAAATGATAAATTGGCCTTGTTGCCTAGCAAATGTATTAGACTTTATAATAACATAAATCCCAAAATAATATTATTAAGGGGTCAATAAAAATATTTCAATATGACTCTCACCAAAGTTTCCTATACCTATCCTACTACGTTAATTATTATTTTAAATAAAAATTATTTGACACTGACACTACTTATTAATCAAACCGTTATTATTGTTTAAAATAGTTTAAAATTATTATTGTTTTGAAAGATTGTTATATTTTAATTAGTTAATAAAGGATCTTACTTCAAGGAACAATAAATTGATGTTTTAAGTAATCGGTAAGTGTGAAGAAATGTGTTTATTAACGACAAGAGTATATACCCAAAGGTATCCTAACAGGCGTCATTTTAAAGGTGGGTCCACATTGCTCGCGAACAGTGCGAATGAACACAACAAGCGCAACAAACGGAGAAAACAGCACGAATTAAACAAAAATTATATTCGTTATGTTTGCAGCGTTCCTGGTGCTTGCAATCACCCAAAACACGTGTTTTTACTGTTCGGTCGGGTATCGGTACATCAAAGGGATGCATATTGCGCTCGCGAGCACAGTTGACGGCGGTTTGGTGATTTTTTTGTTTTTACTGTTCGCTTTTAAGTTCAGTCAAGTATGAGCGTACGAGTAAGGCGCAGTGCAATATGAAGTGGACTGAAGAAAACATTTTAAAGCTAATTGGGCTTTTCGAAAATTATCCTGTTTTGTGGGATCCACAATATAAATTTTGTAAGCTGAATAATATGTGTTAATATGCGTTCATTGGAAAAGTTGTTGCTGCTTTTGCGAAGAACAGGCAGTCTTCTAATAAACAAGAACGACAAAACTGGTTACCGGAAATGAGGAAAATGAATATTTAGTGATAGAATCTCTGGTTAAAGACCCTCACATGTCAGCTAAAAATATATAAAGCAACTGGAATAAGCAGACAGACCATTCAAAGAATAAATAAAAAACACAAATTTCACCCGTATCTCATTCAACTACATCAACAGCTTTTTGAAGAAGATTATGATCGACAAGTAAATTTTTGTTTATGGGTTTAAGAAAAGGTTGGTGATGACGAATTTTTTTTTTTTTTTGATGAGTCAACTTTTCATAACAACGAATTAATTAATAGACATAACTTTCACTACTACACTGACAAAAATCCTAATATTTTTAGAACACTTGATCACCAACACAGATGGTCTGTTAACGTGTGGGGTCGAATAATTGAATTGCGAATTGTAGGTCCATACTTGGTCACTTAAACGGCGACATGTTTCTCGGATTTATTAGGGTCAATTTGACTATACTGTTGGAAACTATACCTCCTAATATTCGTCAACGCATGTGGATGCAGCTAGATGATGCTTCTGCACACTTTGATAGACGTATTAGACACGAGTTAGATCGACACTATTTAAATAGATGG